GCAACAGGAAAAATTGCGATGCAGCAAGAACAATTACGATATACGAAAGTGGTAGCGATGTGTGAACGAAAGTAGCATCAATCAGGTAGCATAAGTATAGAGAGACCTCTCTAATGCTCTACCTCTCTAAATACACTCTCAATTTCTGGCCCAAGTATATACGTGACTCCCGTACATGCACTTATTCATATTGTTCTTTAAATGCACGATGTTTTAGAAGCTTGGTCATTATGGGTACATTTAGAAAGGTATCTCTGTAATAGTACGTATGAGTGAAAATGGCATTAATTATGCAAGGTGAACAATAATGATAGATACATGCATGCATATATAACCATAATATATAAAATAGAAGAACTGTCAGTATGGAAAAAAAACATAAATAAATAAATAAATAATGAAATAAAAGCTTAAAGATACATTTTTTTGCCCCATTAATCAATTTTCTCAAAAATGCTCTATCTCCTGGTTTAGGTTAATGAAGGCGTTAAATGCATTATTCCTGAGTGTATAATGAGTATAGAGTCGACATATAAATTTTTTGAACTTTTTGATTTAACTACGTTAGGGCAATATGATAATAGAGAGGTGAAAGTTTTTATTCGACGAGAAAAGTCTGAAGGTTGGCGAGAAGTAGACAATGGGTTAGATGGTGATTTGAGAATGCTTGAAGTTTTAGGTTTTATGCAAGTCAAGTTTTGTCTTGCTTCCAATACAAATTTAGACACTTCAGTTTCAATTCAAGACAAACCAGATGCTTTCAGCATTTTAATGGCAAATTCAAGGCAGCCTTTGCTTCCTCGTCGTTGTAATGAGCGTAATAACTATAATCGACTTTATAATAAAATTATCGAACTTTTCAAAGCTCAACAGGTTGGATGGACAGGTGGTTTACATGAAACAATAGGAAAAGCATTCGTAAATCATATTGCAACTGCTCTTTGGTATATTGATCCACATCTTTCAACACTAAGTGCACGTTCATATCATTTACCAGCTCTTTTTGCACAGTTGAAAACGTATCAGGATGGTAAATCATATGATGAGTATTATTATACTGGTCATTATAAAAAGAATCCATTGTCTCAACAAAAACTTGTGCATCTTTCGAGTTCTCTTGAGATTTCTATAAGTCAACCATGGGCGAGTAGTGATAGGTGGAATCAAGTAATGCCTGCAGTTCTTTCTTTAATTGAAATTTTGAAAAAATATTCGGACTATTTAATTGCAACAACTGCTAGTATGAATGAACCTCATCATAGCAATGAAAGTACCCATAGTCCTGGAAATAATAGTACCATGTACCGAGTTAGTGCTTGTGAACCTCATCAACTTAAAGATGAATATGTTCAATTGGACGATCTATTATCTGAAAAATCATTTTACAAACATATTGAAATTCAACAATATCTTCCAGACGATGCTATAAGCCGATACAAATTTATGAAAGAGTTGCAGCTTACATTTTCTATTGGTATATATAGGTTAGTATTTTGATAGTGTAGTTTCGTGTATATATGGGCGTCTAAATTGTTTACCTTAATAAAAAAGTAATTACGGCATTTAGGCAGCCGAAATTATTCTTATATAGTGCTAAAGTTAATTTTCATATTTGCCGAAATTATTGCTGAAATTTTTGAACTCTTTTCATCAAAATACATCATACAATACAGTTATTTGAAGGGGTTCATATAAAAAATTTAGCAATACTGAAAAGTTTGCCGAAAATACGATTTTTCAAAAAATATTCGTGTTCGATTTTTTAGAATTAAAAATCTTTATCTAATAAGATTTATATGATTTATATTAAAATAAAACTTATTTTGACTTTTTAAATATTATCAGGGCAATTATTTGGGAACAATTAACTACATATGGAGAGAAAATGAAATGTCAAATAACGAGCAAGATGAAACACTAAAAGCACGCATGTTGGCTAAAATTCATGAAGAGTTACCTCGTTATTTTACACGGCAAATGAGAAAAAATGTGCTTAATAAGGTATGATAACAATACAATTAATATTTAAATATCACCACATTTATAATATATAATCTTTTTTCTTTATAAAATAGTATTCATATATTCAGAAAGTTACACTAGCAGTATTACGGATGCTTCATTTTGATTTGACTGGAAATGCAGCTGTAACTTCGGATGCAGTTAGTCGTGAGGTGGAAGAGAGATTACGATTAATGTTAGAATTGGCAGATCCCAATATTATATTCGATTTACGGACAAATAATGGATTTAAAGAAACAAAATTTGATACATTTTGGGATGAAATGGAAGCTTATTTTAATGAGCAAGTAAGTTTTTATATTTATATATATGTATATTTTAGTGATACGGGCCGGTGGAAAAATCATGGTCAAGGTCGATCCTAAAAAAACTCAGGCTAATCAATCAGGTCAACTTCTATTGCTAGAACAATTTTTAGTCTTCATATCTATATTAAATGGGTACGTATCACTTCGTAGAAGTTTATTTCACAGACACCTTGTTATACGGACAATCAATTCATAGACAAGTTATTTAAAGACAATTAATTTGCAGACAGTTCATTTCATAGACAGTTCATTTTATAGACATTTCATTTTGTAGACAATCTTTAATACTGATTTAGAAGTTATTTGCTATTAAAGATTTTCTATAAACTTAACTGTCTATAAAATGGACTGTCTATAAAATGAACTGTCTGTAAGTTAATTGTCTTTAAAATAAACTTGTATATGAACTAATTGTCTGTAAAACAAGGTGTCTGTGAAATAAACTTCTACGAAGTGATACGTACCCATTAATCGACTAGGCCAGCCCATATCACTAGTATATTTTTATTATTTTTTAAACTACAGTATTTTAATAGAACTTACTTGCGGTAAACGAACGAAGCCATGGAACCATTCTATATATGCCATTGGCCTTGTCAATTCGTGATCTTCGTGAAACTATAGTGGAAAGATTAGAGGCTGTTTATAGTAATCCATTACCTTCCAATATTAATATTCCATCAGACGAATGGATTCGTCTTTAATTTTGTCCTACAAATGCTATTACAACCCGAGCAATGTATTATACTGGTCGATTTAAAGTAAAATTTAAAGTGCAAGGGAGAATGCTTCAAAAAAGTAGTGAAGACGCACATTATTGCGCAGCACTTTTCTGATATCTTAGAGAATTTTGTATTCGGTACCGTCAATGGGCTTGCTTAATTTTTGCGGATGATAAACATAAGATTCCTATCGGAGAAGATGTTGCAGTTTCTACAGGTGTGCGAAATTGACGCTCAATAGTTGCACAAGGAAGCACTTTGGCTGCTGCTAATCATGATTTCTCAAAACTATCTCTAACGCCATCAGTAGTTTTTTTTATTTCTATTCCTAATGATATTTCTGGATCATTTTATGATGGTCAGGTGTATGTATCGTACAAAGATACGATTTTTGAACCGAGTACTGCTATTAGACATTCAACTGAATTTTTAAATATACTAAAACTTCAATATGTATATCAAGAATTGCCACTGATTTTATGTCTTTACACTGATAGGGGTCCAGATCATCATTGTAATTATGGTTCAGTACAAATTGCATTAATAAGTCTTTTTTTTTGTGGAGATTTTGATCTGCTTGTTGCAGTTCGTACAGCTCCTAATCATAGTTGGACAAATCCCGCAGAGCGAATCATGAGTACTTTAAATTTGGGTCTTCAAGGTGTAGTGCTCAAGCGTGACTCAATGAGTCCGGAATCCGAAAATTTATTTGAAATGGTAAATACACTGGGTGATATTTGTGAAAAAGCTAAAGAATCCAATAAATTAGAATCAGAATTAAAAGAATGCATCACGGGCATTCAAGAAATATTAAAAAATCGAACTGCACGGCTTAGATTAAAAAACAATAAATTTAAATGCCATTCCCCGGCAAGTCAAGAAGAGATTACTGAAGTATTTGAGGTAAATATTTGACTTTTTTTATATTATTATTTCATATGAGTGCCGCCAAGGAAAAACCTGCAATCGGGCATTCAATCTTCAGTTTGTTTTCTGTGTGCCATCTAGGAATAGTCTATCATCGGCCTTTAATTATATTTTGACAAAATATAATTTAAAGCCTGATGATAGACTATTCCTAGATGGCATACAGAAAACAAACTGAACATTGAAAGCCCGATTGCAGGTTTTCCCTTGGCGGCACTCATATTATGGAGACGGGTGATACAAATACGGAATTCAATCTTGCTAAAAATCAAAATAAATAAATTAAATGTTATCAATTATTTAAAACTATAACTTAACTAATTTTAATTTGCGCTATTCAAATGACTAATTTTTTGAATAGTCAATGTTCCATATAGACCCAACTTTAAAAATTGAAGAAACCACGCAGGCACAAATACGCAATCATCCAACATTAGTCGAATTCATAAAAACTCATTGTCAAACACGTGCTTATAGTTTCCAGGCATGTAAATTTTCTATATAATAAGGTTTAAGCATATTTTAAATTTTAATGATACTGATTAAATAAAATTGATATTTTTTCTAAAGGTAAAAAAATGCTTTGATACTTCGTGCTTATATTGTAAGCCAATTCGCCTTCCACAACATGAATTTGGTAATTTAAGTTTTCTCCCAGATCCGATCCCTTCAAAAGGTAGATTATCTAATTTTTTGATGTATATACTGTAATTAAAGATGAGTAAAATGCATGATACGCATGAATAGATCCAAGTTTCACTATTAGTGGTTATCACGATTGTTATTTTATGTAGTGCGAGCACTTAAGTGCATGCATTTAGTTGCTGTCGAAACTATTTGGGCGATGAATAGCATATGATAAGACCAGGTTAAAACCATATCGATATGTTATGCTAATTATCACATTGTTTGGACTATCCAAAATAGTTTGGATGGCATGCATGATTGCATACATGCATGGCATAATGTCGCAGTTGCCCATCTCTAACTATGTAATCATAAAAATTTAAAACTAGACAATATGGACCATTATACAAGCTTTCAACATGTTTACAGAACTAAGACTACTGAAGAACACAGGCCAACATATATACAGTTGCAGGCAAAATCAGAGTCTATTCCGAAATATATTCTTGTTACAGAAAAAATTCGTGATTATATTAGTTGTGAAAATTGTAGAAAACGTCGCTGCGTATATAGTAACAAATCTTTAACCGATGATGAACAAAATGATTATCAGCAGGCACTGGAATCATATTCATACTCGTGTGGAGCACCAATTTTCCCTGACGATCATTATTTGAAAGAAGTGATATTTGTACGTTTGCAAATTAATTGTGATTCACCGATCGAAATACTCTATTATTCAAGCCGCAAAGCAGGAAATTATCCAATTTGTTACCATTGTGGAAATAGCGATAATTTAATAACTCCACCTCAATCTTTGAAGGAACATTTCAAGCAAATTTATCCATTGTGCGAAATTTGTCAGGAAAGCGGGAGGAATTTTTATACAAAAGGGGCAGTTAAGACCAATAATAAATCCACAAAGCATTCTAAAAAATAACATAAGTCATTCTAGGTTAAGATATAACGTTATATAGCATTAGGATTAGTATTAGACTGATTTAAAGTCACGGTCAGACAAGGATATATTATTCAGTGTAAATGGTTAAAAGTTAAGATAAAGAAGAGTTGGCACTGCATATAGTGCTTATTCTAAAGTTATCAATCTAGAGAAGAGTAGAATAATTAAATATGTTGCTATAATTAAAATCACCTATTTTTTTTTTGTCCTTTTTTTTTTAATCATGTTTATTCAAGGCAGATATAAAGGCCCTTTATTGTTATCTCAGTAATAATAAAATACATATATAAAGACTAGGTTCTGCAAGTGCCAGCACTTGCAGAATCCTAATAAAGACCCACTGTATTCAACAGCAGAGACAGTACCCGATCCAAAGTGAATCCCTCTCACCTGTGATCAATTACAAATTAAATTATTTATGTTGGATTCAATTGTAATGGATATAATCTCTCACCGGTTTTAATATATGTATAACATTAACAGTCTCTGCTGTTACTGTATTCACCTGAAATAAAGATAATGCACATTCGAGTTCTAAACTACGAAGAGATAATAGTAGTAGTTCCCTTCCAGACCCTTTATTATAAATTCGCTGGTTGTATTCTGTTCGTCATATTTTTCTTGTCCCTGTGATTTTGTATTATTCATATTTTCGTATAAGCAAAAATCAAAAGAAAGAGTTAAGAATTAGTGATCAGTGCTCTTATATAGTGAAAACGAAATTGATTAACTTTTGATTAAGCCTACTGTTAAAATGCTACGTAAACCTTAATAAATAATATCCGTGAGCACATGATATCGTGAACCAAATTCACGATCAGGATATTTTATTGAAGCCGATGTAATAGTAATAGGGTCAATGTGATCTGACCACAAAAAAAAACGTGACCCAAGCCATGAGATCCTGGATCTTAATGCGCATTGATTGACAAAAGTGAAAAATGCTAATTCGGGTTTGGCTCTCCATTGAAGAATAATAGTAAGACGCCAAGTTGTGGAAACTAAAGTCATAGTCATGCAAATGAGTATAGAATTCCCCTTCTGATACTTTAATTAGCCATATCGCTTGTTAGATCTTAATCATAATAGAAAAGCCCAGAATGTATATAAAGGTCTCATCTTCATGTAACTTTGAGATAGTAGTTAGATATAAATAAGAATCATATTAATAAAGACTATCGAATGATAGTCTCAAGGATTCTAGTAGTAGTAGGATACTTAGTTCTTAGATCAAATCTTTCTCTGTTTTTAGTTGTGTTTTAGCTATAAGACTTAGTCACCACAAACCCGCCTTTTACACTGAGCTGCATCTTTTGATAGAGAAAATAAGCAATATTTTGTATTAGTATCCAAAAACAATATAATAAGTCTTAGTAAGAAAAAGAGCTCAAGCACCTTTAACCAAGAACACTTAACTTTGGCACTCACAACTGCTGCAGTAAATATTGAGCACCTATTTTTGAACCAAATTATTCACTTAAAAGCTAAATTTTATAAGCTTCATTAACTACATGTACCTTTAAAATTACTATAACTAGGAAAAACAGGTGCTGTTGTAAATCCGGTGCTACCGTCAGTTGGGAGAGCGTGGAACGATGGTTTGTGCCGGTCTAAATCAGGACAATAAATGATATAAGCCGGGAATATATTATATATGTGTGTATACGAGCACTTAGCAAGTATAATAAGAGTATGTAATAGTGAGAATATAAGAGTAGTATGAGTATGCGCGCAGAGTAGATATAGAGTAGTATGTGTATAGTACAATAGTGTCAGAGATAGAAATAAAGAAAATAAGAAAAGATATACGATGCAAACAAGAAATCACACAGAAGACTTTATTTACTAAGGAGAAATCACTCAGATAGAACCTAAAGAAATACAGCAAGGCAATTATATCGAGTTTTTATACATGAAGAAATATCTATTCAGAACTTTCCTGAAGGCTCAACTATATAACATCCTTCCGCTATGACTAATCTTAATTACCAACAACACCAATTAAACTTTTCCCCTCGCGTCTTTATCTAATTAAAGACTTTACATCTGAAAGATCAAATTCTTCATCAGCCTACAATAAGATAACACCCGATTGTTATCAATGCTTGATATTGTTTAACTCACCTTCACGTTATGGAGTTGTCCAAAACAGTAATAGAATATAGGTATAAGGGAATAGATAAGGAAGGGGGATGACTATATTTAGAATAAAAGGTATCTATATATAGTAATAATATAGGAAAACGAAATAGGAAAGGGATGATCGATTAAATAAAGTGAGATGATGAAGGGACGATCAGAAGTAAGAACAATTAACTATTGTGGAAGGGATGATAACAGGGGTGAAAATAAAGGAATGATGCGATTTTGGGGCGCAGAAAAGCTTTAATAGTAACACCAGAGCAAATTAAAAAAAATTGTTCAATCACTAGGCGCTTGAGTTGCTTAAAGGGAGTTAGAGATGAATGTATTATATCTGATATTGTATTATACAGTGCGAGGACCTCATGCTGTGATTAGTCTCCATGGCTGCGATAGCAATGCAAGTACCTCTTTTTGCAATCAGGCCCTATAGCTGGCAGGCAATGCAAGGACCTCATGTTTGGTGATTCAGCCCCCCTTATAAAAAAAAAGTCAAAATTCTATTCAGATTTTGTTCGGATTTTTATTACAGAATATGCTCATTTTTAAACTAACAATCCGAACAAAATCTGAATAGAATTTTGATTTTTTTTTTTTTTATAGGGTCCACAACTATGATAGCAATACAAAGAGCTTATATTTGATTAGGCTCTATGACTGCCACGGGCAGTAAAAAACCTCATGTTTAGTGATTAAGCACTGCAACTACAATAGAAGTGCAAGGACCCATGTTGTAATTAGGCTCTGTGGCTGCTATAGCAATGCAAGGACCCATGTTGTAATTAGGCTCTATGGCTGCCGCAGGCAGTGCAAGGATTTTACTGTATGTTTGGTGATTAAGCACCGTAACTACAATAGCAGTGCAAGGATCTCATGTTGTGATTAGGCTCTGTGGCTGCGATAGCAATGCAAGGACATTACATTGTGATTAGGCTCTATGGCTGACGCAGGCAGTACAAGAACATGATGTTTGGGATTAAGCACCATAACTATGATAGCGTACAAGAACCTCACATTGTGATTAGGCTCCGTGGCTGCGATAGCAATGCAAGGACTTATGTGATTAGGCTCTACGGCTGCCACGGACAGTGAAGAACCTCATGTTTGGTGATTAAGCTCCATGGCTGCGATAGCAATGCAAGGACCTTACATTCTGATTAGACTCTATGGCTGCACAGGCAGTGCAAGTTTGGTATTGGACTTATAGTGATTTGTATAATGATTTGCAATTAAAAGTTCGATTACTGTACTTACAGGCTATTATGGCTGCATAAATGATTTAAATAGGGTTGTATTTGCTATTGGCCTTATCGTGATTTGTATAGTTATCTGTTGTAAAAATTCAGTTACTAAGAAAGGAGATCCGTATCCAACTTTAAACTTATATGGAAATAATCTATGATGCGCAGGCAAAAAAGATTAAAGAGGGTTAAAACTTATGTGATTAGTCATGTGAGCGAACAGACAGACAAAAATTACCTCTAAAAAATTTACAAAGTACAGTTAATAAAACCAAGATAAATATTTTAAAGTTCTGACTTTGATTTATATAGATTACTGTGATTTAAAATTTTGTTATATATTAGATTGATAACCAATAGGATTGCAAATCTATATTACAAGATATATATCTATGTTTTTTTTTTTAGCCCTCCCCCCCATCATCATATTGGCTACTAATTTTATGTTAAACAGAAAATTAAATTGGTGTGGCCTTAGTGTAATAGAGTTTGCTTAGAAGAATTCTACTGCTAGATCTGTTATCTGTTGTAGCTCTTTCTGTGATCCTGCAAGTAGAACCATATTATTTGCATAAGCTATGGCAGCTACAGTGATTTTTTTTTTTTTTAGTCTTGCTTGTTGTAAGGTCTACTGGCTACTCTATTTCAAGTTTAGCATCTAGCTTAGCTTGCTGTAGTCTGTATAGTAGGGGGTCAAAGTAAATTCTCTATAGGAGAGGAGATATAACTTTATCTTGGTCGATACCCTCCTTGGCTGTGAACTTTTCGGTAAGGCCAAATTTGGTAACTATGCTAATTTTCCTATTGTTGAACAGCTCTATTATTAGATTGATTAAGTATTGTGAGAAGTATATTCATTTTATTGCCACTTCTAGTCTTTTGAGACATACTGTATCAAATGCCTTTTTGATATCTAGAAACATTGCCTATAGCTTTTTATTATTTTTTTTTGCTTCTTCTATTAAGCTATTTACTATATAGATTGGTTCTTGAGTACTTTTACTATAAAGATCTACAAAGTTGAGACCTTTTAGTATTTTGTTGTTAATGATTACTGTACTCAATCTTTTGTAAATAATTCATACACAACATTTTCTAGCTGCATCAAGTAGCATTATTGGTCTTATATTTTGTAATCTAAGATCCCACTTGGCTATTTTAGGGATTGGAAAAATCATGTCTAATTTTCACTTTTTGGGATATATTCCTTCTTGCAAGATGAGATTAAAAGGCTCTATTATATACTTTTTGGTTCTTTTGCCAACCTTCTTAAGTAGAGTATAGCCTATACCTGATAGCCCTGGAGTGAATAAGCTTTTTGTATTGTCAATTGCAGCTTTCTAGTCTTTTGTATTGATCATTTCTAATACTAGGTTGTACCATTGTTCATGTATCCAATTTTTGGGTGTGTATTTATTTTTCCACTTTAGTATATCTTTTCAGCTACTTGAAATTGGCTGATTGTACTGTTTATTGAAGTAGCTTCTTACTTCATATTGTACTTCATCTGGTTGGTATTTAATTTGACTATTACTATTGTTTGTATTATTACAAATTAGAACCCTTTCTATTTTTATCTTTTGTCAAGGTTTCTCT